GAGTTGGTTGAGGAACAAAAAGAAATTTTCCTGATTTTTCATGCTCATACTTTTGTAATTCTAGTAAAGTATTACCCTTCTTGAATTCGTGTATAAGAGCTAATTCATAAGCATAATCACATATTTTGCCGTCTTCTTTTAGTCATTTTCTCTGGTTAAATTTTCTACTTTCCTCACAACAGTCTTCATTATGACAGTTAGGGTTAGTAGGTAATTTTCCTAGCCGAAGAGGCTTTAATTCAAAAGCATATTTTAGTTTGTTTTCCGGTTCGTTAACATAAATTCACAGCCTTTTTGTTTTTAAATCGTATGGTTTTGTTTCTGGTTGGAAAAGAAAATTTCCAAATTGGCAAGTTCTTTTTTTACTCTTTCATTCTTCAAAATTAAAACGACTGCTATTTCAAACCATAAGTCTATCGCTCTTGTCTTTAATGACTATTTCTCGCAAGTTAGTTTGGTTCATATATCTATTTTTGCCTGCTTGTAATATTTTCTTTATAATCTAATAATAATTATTTTTATCCGTCTTTTTTAGCAGACTTATAAAAGCAATAATTTTCATAGTTTACTACTTTGTGTGGGTCAAAGGGCAGCTATCGGTTTCCACCCTTTTATCCCTGAGTAAACTAAAATCAAAAACTATTCTTTCGTAGAGTGGTATTGGGCGAATTTTCTTTTTTTCTTCTTGTAATTCAATTACTCCGGTTCCCGCTAGAACTTTAGCATCTCTTCATACTCCCGCATAATCACGGTGGAGTAATTGAGCTAATTGATAAAGAGAAGTGGGGCGTTTGTTTACTAAACATTGAAATAGTTCTAATCGACTTTTACTCATACTGCGGTAAACAGCTTCAATACTATTCGCAATAGTGCAGTCTTTTTGTAAACAAGCTTTTTTAGTTTTTAGTGTTTCATTCATCCGAGCAAATGTTCCCTCCAAACTAATAGTCGGATCATATTTAAATGTAAAAGTGTTATTTTTTGTATCATCAGATGTATTAATTGTCTTTACATCAGTTATCTTTGTGTCTACCATAATGTTCTTTTTTTTGCCTATATTTTCTTAATCAACAGTTTATACAATTAGTACTCTATCAACGAAACTCTTTGTGCTGCTATTACTTCATCTTACTTATTCTCTATTCCTTAACTTCTTTCACAAGTTCTCCAAATTTTTCTTTAACCAACATTATGTTAAACAACTTTTTTGAGATTCAAAACTAATTCTAATCCTTGATTCACTTGCTCCATTATTTCTCCACTAGCCACTCCACAATAATCGCGTTGGCGAAGTTCTTTATCAATCGCTCGCAAACGATTAAGCAAAATTTTACTATCTTTTTTTAAGCCATTGGTAGCATTAGCCTTAATTAGCACCTCGAAAATTTGAACTTCGGCTAAGTTCTCTCAATCCTCGTTGGATATAGGGGCAACAATAATATGATGATCGTACTGATTTTGCAGATCATTACTAACTACTAAAGCCGGACGAAGCTTGCCGAGTTCCTTACCTTTTTTAGGATTGAAGTAAACTGAATAAATTTCACCATAGTGCGGAAAGGGATAAGGAGATTGTTTTTTGGCTTGATCAATTTTTTTATTCATTATTTATTATAATCCGTCTGAACTTGTTTCATCTCAAATTTCATCCTCACCTTGCCTTTTCTTGCTATTAGCAACCGCTTGATAACCTTTAATAAGTTGCTGTTTTAGTTTTTCTTTTTGGTTTTTTTCTTCTTTTTGTAGTTTTTCCTCCACTAACTCGTTGATAAAATAGCTAATTTTTCTCTTTTCCACCAAATCTTTAATTTTGCGATAAGTTTTCTCTCGAAAAAAGATATTTACATTGTGTTTAGTCATATAGTTTATTTTAGCACTTACAAACTTACCAACTTAAATACCACTATAAAAAAAGACTAGAAAATAGTTATTTAAGAAAAATAGAAAAAGGATGAGAATAGAATTACTATATTCGGCTAACCCATTCACCATTGTAGAGTTGCTTCTGTCAGTAGTCGTTTCTGAGCATATTGACTAATTATTAATAGAGTTTGATAAGCAAGAAGCGAAAACGAGAAATAAAAATGGGTGGTCGGACAAGACTTTAACATATAAAGGTAGTGGTGTTCTATTATAATTTCGCTTTTAATAATTCTCTTAAAGACAAAATTTTCCTTAATTTCTCAGCCACTTTATTCATTTCCTCAACGGTCAAGTTTTTGATTTTATCCCCAATTCTTTCTTTATCGACACATTGGATTTGGTCGATCATCACTTTACCGTTAATATCTTTAACTAATTTAGGAACAAATAGTTCAAAGGATTAATTCTTTACCAAAAAGAATTCTAAACTAAAAACCTTTTGGTAAAAATAGTGGTTTTGGCAGAGGTGGCAGGACTCGAACCCACAACACTCGGATCTGGAGGCCGATGTTCTACCAATTGAACTACACCTCCAAACCTTTAAGATTGTTTTCTAAAAACATAATTCTTGTTTAAACATAAAGAGTAAGCCGTGTTCTGTTTTAACCGATGATCTGTCTTAATTCCTTTTGTTGGGAATTACCAATTAAGATTATTGTTCTCTTTCCTTGATGCTCCTACCAATTAAAAAAATTTGGATTGCTCGCTAGCGGGGTTTACGTCGTCTCACTTCCTAGGTTTCCCTAGTAATCGTCACTATAGCACTTT